ACCTCAGTTCTTAAATTTGAATGCTAATGACCATGATGTCAAACAGATCCTTCACAGATATAAATTTCAATTGTACAAAACATTTACAGCTTATTTTCTTATTGAGTTGTATGTTAGAACATACCCAGAAAAGTCCAGTCTCCTCAACGATGTGATCTCTCCTTTTTTTGGCACCTCGGCTCCTTCCCAACGTCTCTGCAAACCTCCTGCACTAACCAGAAACACCTGATTCACTTCTCCAGAAACTCAGCTACTTATTAATGACACAAGGACTTCCTTTTGTCTGATGCCGTAAAACTACTTTCACCTATTTTCACAAAATGCCCACGGTAGATACAAGGACCTCTTTTAATCTACTTGTTATCTCCTTCTGCAAAACTATTCAATTCTTTTCACAATGCCGATATCCAACTCACGAACCACACCCTATCTTGAGACAAACGACTGTTTCCTTCGATGACCAAATTATGACTAACTTCTCTGGTTCTCCTGATCGGCTCACAAATTCCCATTCAAAAACGACCGTCCAATCAAAAGCTCAAATTGTGTTTACCATGATTTTGGAAAAGCCTAATTTCGGTTTCAGAGAAAAACTAAATAGCTTATTTTAAAATTGGTTTTGTCAATACACAATTTATACATATTTCAAAAGATTAGAATATGTTCATTTAATACTCGATTATACAAACAATGAAAAGATTAACTTACAGGTAAAATGTCTTCTAATTCTAAACAAAGGTTTTTTGATAATTTTGTTGGAAACGGAAAAGGTCGTTTGCCAAACAAATTTCTATTCTTATCTACACTAAATCTTATCTTAAATTACTATATACAATTTGCTTATACTGATATCTTAAAATTTTATTTCGATGGATTTTTTTATTTAATTTTCTTTGGTTGGGAAAGAAGAAACATAACAATATATATGTATATACGGGGTGAGTTTTTAGTGTGACATCGGTCGATAATTTCATTATGGTATCGAATATCCAAAAAACTTATTTAGACAAAATGTAGGCAATGATATACTCCATACATGGAAAATATGTGGAATTCTATAGATTAATGACTACATGGTATAGCAAATACACAATTTTTTAAATGGGACACCCTATATATTTGTTCCAATATTCTTAGAGGTTGTCTCTCAAATGCCTTTTTAAACAACTGGTCCAAGTAAACATTGAACAATGTTGGCGACAAAATGCAACCTTGTCTGACTCCTCGTTGTATAGAGATTTCATCGGTGTAGTTATCTCCAATTTTTACGATAGCAGTTTGATTCCAGTACAAATTTTTAATGACACGAATATTCTTGTCATCTATTTCGATATTTTTCAAAATTTGCATTCATTTTACATGCTGTACTTTATCGAATGGTTTTCGAAGTCCACGAACCATGCAAATACATCTTTTCTTTGGCCACGGCATTTTTATAATAGGATGTTAAGGACAAAAAGTGCCTTCCTGGTTCCCATAGTATTTCTAAAACCAAATTGGGTATCTTCAAAATCATCTTGGTATTTGCGTCTAATTCTGTTGTGAAGTATTCTTAGGAACATTTTAAGAGTGTGGCTTATTAGGCTAATTAATCGATATTTTGAGCATTTTCTCACATTGTGTTTTTTAGGTATTGCGACAAAGATGGATTTGAGCCAATCTGTGGGAATCACTCCGGTGTTATACATTGAATTAAAAAGTCTTACTTACTTACTTACTCCGTGGCGTTACAACCCTTCGTGGGTTTTAGCCGACTCGACAACATGCCTCCACTGTTTTCTATCTTGAGCAGCCTCCATCCAATTCTCCACGCCCATAGTGCTTAGGTCTCCTGCTATATTATCTCGCCACCGAAGACGAGGGCGTCCGCGTGGTCTCCTTCCAGTTGGGACTTCCTCCCACACCAGTCTTACTGTTCGTTCGTCAGAATGTCTTCTGAGGTGTCCTGCCCATTGGAGTCTTCTGGACTTTATTTCTTTTATGATGTTGGCGTCTGGGTAAAGTTCTTCAAGCTCTTTATTAGTTCTTATCCTATATTGTCCTGATACTTCATCAAGCACCGGACCAAAGATCTTCCTTAGGATTTTTCTTTCCCAAACACGTAGTCTCTCTTTATTTGCCTTTGTTATCGTCCACGTTTCGCTTCCATACATCACAACGGGTCGTATGATTGTTTTATAGACCTGTATCTTCGTATGTCGTGTTAGTTGTTTTGATTTTATAAGGTTTTGGAGGGCAAAAATACATCTGTTGCTGGCCTGAATCCTGTTGTTTATTTCTTGTGATCCGTTATTGTCTTCAGTTATTGTTGTTCCAAGATACTTGAATTCTCTAACGCGCTCAAAGTTAAAGTCATCGATGGTAATGTTCTGACCGATTCTGTCTCTGCTTTGGTTATTGCGGCTCATATACATATATTTCGTCTTGTTTTCGTTGATTTGGAGCCCCATCTTCTCTGCTTCCTTCTCAAACCTTACGAAAGTCTCCTTCATCCTTAATCGCGTGTTTCCTATTAGATCTATATTGTGGTGAAAGTGCATCTCCCTGTTTTAGTCCATTGTTTATTTCAAATGTCTCCGAGTATTGTTGTCCAACTCTCACCTTACATCGTGACCGTTCCATACACATCTGTATCAACCGGACTAGTTTTTTTTGGAAAGCCAAGCTCCTGCATCGCTGTCCACAGTCTGTCCCTACATACTCTATCAAATGCTTGATTTAATTAAATTTAAATTTAATTAAATTAAAAAGTCTTACTACTACTTTTATGTTATCATTCTCTATTAGTTTCAGCAACTCAGTTGGTGTATCATCTAGACCACAAACTTTTCTAGTTGAATCATTATTTATAGCATGTTCTACCTCGCATTTAATAATTTCTGGGCCGTCAGTACAGTTTTAGTAGAATTCGGCAATATTATTCCTGCCATCTTCAAACAACTCTGATATATACAGCTGCCATTCTTTTCTTATTTCGTGCTTATTTACAATAATTTTGATATTATTGTCAACGAGTACAGAGGGACCTCGTTTTTTAAATATGTTACTCATTTCTTTTAGTTTTTTGTGCACATTAAATAAGTCGTGTTTAGATATTACATCGTCCATTTCGCCGCACCTTTCTCTCATCCATTTTTCTTTGGCTAATTTGATCTTCTTTTTTATTCTTCTCTGCAGGTGTCTATATTCTGTTTCATTAGATTTTATCAGTCGACGTTGTTCCATTAATTTCAAGATGCCATCTGTCATCCATTTATTTTTCTTGATAAAGTTTTTTCTATAATCATTGTTTGTGGAGATTTCGTTAACTTGGTTTTTAAATTCACTACATAGTTCTTCTGGATCTTCTAGTTGTTCTCCGATGATTTTTATTCTATTGTTAAATTCTTTTTTAATGTTATGTTTTATGTTTATATCGTCAAAGTTAAGTACATTGGTTTTTGGTTTTTGTCGCTGAATTCGTTTTAACATTAGTTTAATATAGCTACAAGTGGTTAATCATCAGATTCAATATCTGCTCAGGAAATGTAGTGACTTTTTGACGACATTTCAGAAACGCTCATTTTCAAGTATATAGTGTATTTGATTTCTTGAAGACTCAGGGTTATTGCCATTACCAAATGGGGCTTTCCAAGTGTATAGTCGTCGCTTGGGTAGTTTATACTAGGTGTTTGCAATGATCATATCGTGTTCATTACAAAATTCATACAATGTATATTCTTGATTATGAGGTTGTCCTACACCATAAGCACCTACAGTCTGACCTCGTCGACCTTCCCTAATTTTTGCATTGAAGTTGCCTATAATATATAAAATTTCGTGTTTGTAAAGTTTCTGTAAGATGTCTTGGATCAGATCATACAACTTCTCGACTTCATCGTTATATTTTCTATCTTCAGTCCGGGCATAGACTTGAAGTATGTTAGTTTTAAATGGTTGAGTATTTATTTGGAGTAATATTATTCTATCCGAGATTGGTACGAGATTGATCACACGTTTACTCAGTTCTGATGTTACTAATATACCTATACCATTTTTATGATGCGGGTCTTCTGTGCTCTTACCGGAATAATATAATACACTCCCGTCCTTTTTACATGATCCTGACTCTGGTCATCTTATTTTGTAGATTCCCTGTAGGTCTATTTTCATTCTTTTCATTTCTTGAATTGCGTTGTCAAGTTTTCCAGCCGCACATAGACTTTAAACATTCCATGTGAACATTCTAAAATTAGACTTCTTTATTTTTAGGATTTCTTCACGAGGTTTTCGCATGTTTACGACCTGAGAGGCCTCGTGGTATAAATATGTTCCTCCTCTCCTGCCGAATCTTGGCCACCGCTTTCCATGATTAGTAACGGTCTGTAATTGCAGTGTCAATTCTATGATGATTTTCCTGGGGGTGGTCTATGAGCCGTTAATGCGGTGGTTCCCCTTTGCCTTCTGCATTCCTAAGCAGTTGACCATTATTTGTTGATTCATCCGCCTTTGGGGACGATTTCTCAATCCCAGTACAAAAGAATGCCCTACCACTCACCAATTCATCCGCCCTAAGCCGTTGGTCAGTAAGTGGGGGATTGCTTATACCGGCAATGGTCCATGTATATAAAGAAGTAATGCATAAAAAATGAATTATTTTATATAATACAGTAAACAATGTATTGTAGTTTTTAAATTATGTTTAATTAAAATAATTGACAAAAAATTGTATACAGGGTGAACTACAAAACCCAATTAAGATTTTATCATTTTTTTTAAATGGATCACCCTTTATTTTATTTTTTCGAAATATTGTATTTATAATACTCTTTCATTTTTATATAGTATTTCATATACCTAAACTCATTACTTTATGAGATATTTTATGAATGCGAGTCAGCGAGTCAGCTGCCGGTCCCGCTTGACTTCTGCTTATCTAACCGACTTACAACTACACTAAACTTATTGTAGATAAATAGACTAACCGTTTACATTATTCTAATAATACATATCTTTTTTAGTTGAAGAAGGTGAGCCCTGCTACACAGCTAGGAACGAATATGGAATTTGTCAAAGTATATACGAGTGTAATTATATGCTCAATTTACTGAAAACAAGAAGCAATAATCAGGAAACGCGGCAATATCTGCAACGTTCAACTTGTAAATTTGGAGCTGTAGTATATGTTTGTTGTCCAACAGAAAATGATGTTATATCTACAGAACCGCCCGTTACGAAAATCACTGGCGCCGTTTTAAACAACGAGAAATGTGGTATTAGTAATGTAACAAACTTTAGAGTTGTAGGTGGAACTCCGGCTAAACTACGTGAGTATTGATTCATATATCCTATATGTTTAACTGAGTGACCAAAAATCTATAAAATGTTTTAAACATCCTCCAATGAACTATATTTAGTCGAGTGAATTAGTAGAGTTTTCTAATTCGATACAAACAAATAGGCACAGTTCACAAGTATGTTGTCTTATGAAGGAGAAGAAAAATCTAAAAAGCTATCTGTTTGCAACTAGTAGCTCAGCAAGCAAGCAATTTAACTGAACACAGCCTGAGAAACTTGTTCATCCCTTGAAATGACGTTCGGGTGTAACAATTCATTGCGTTGCAATGCTCTAAGATTATCTCTTTCCCTCCTATAGCACTCTGATGTGCGATATAGGCACACTATCAGCCAAATGCTCTTAATGCGGGAGTCCTGGATAATAGAACTGTAACATGGTTCATTAACTGATTCAAAATTCAGGCTAACGTGAGGCGCTTTATTCCTGTTATCTTCTTGTGACTTATACGCGAAACTGGAATTGCTTGTTTGGGCCTCAAGCTTCTGCTCTAGGCTGAACCCAGTTCGGAGACTTGGTTCTAAGGGGTTGGTCCGTACATGTCCGGGTTTTTTGGTTTTTGTAAATTTTTGTGGTGGCTTGCTCCGGTATTTATATTATTTGTAATTTTTTTTTTGGTAGGACGTCCTGAAAAATAAAATCACAATTAATGGGGCGTGCACAATTTTATTGCGCTTGTCTACGTTGATAGAGCTACGAAATATCCTCTTTTATTTATTTCTTTTACTTTCTCTATAGGGTTTATTTTTATTCTCTCTAGGGTTTATTTTTATTCTCTCTAGGGTTTATTTTTATTTTATTATTACTTCGGGTATCTTTTATTTTATTCCACTATTTGTTGTTTTGGATATTTGTGTTTCCATCGATGGAACGCGTCGTATCTCATGATCTCTCGCAGTATGGCATTTCGCTGATTCTTCAGTTCCGCGAATTTTATCCTGGCTTTTTCCTTCATTATTTCAGTCAACCTGACTTAGTGCAGTTCTCTGAATAAAAATCGTTCAGCGACGTGTCTTGGAACGTCGACTGCTTCTCTTGGGCTGCCGTTGTGTGCCACTTGTATCCTCTTGTTTGATGTATTACATACGTGTCCCATACGTTAGTATCGGTAGTATGATACTATTTATTAATTTATTTTTGTTTTTATCCTTAACTTACTTGTTCTACCTGTGAGTCCTCTTATTGACGCTTTTGCCATGTTGGCTTTTTGTACTGTGGCGTCTAGGTTTTTTTGAATGTAAGTCCTTTATCCATTATGGCTCTCAGGTATTTGGCTTCGCTTTTCCATTTTTTTAAGGTTGTTTTGCACTATCAGTTGTTCCTCTGGCTGTTGATGTCTCTTTTTGAAGAGCACATTTTCAATTTTACGGAGTTTATGGCGTTTTCCAATGTATAATCTATTCTTCGATGTTTTCCAATGCCGTTTGCAGGTTATTTACTGCTATATCTACATTTCTGTGTTTGACCTCTATCGCTTTATCATCGGCATAAATACTGAGTAAAGTTCCTGGTGTTCTTAAAATATCGGGGTTTATATTGTGTACAGTAATGGTGACATAACCGCTCCCTGTGGTATTCTAGTCTCCGGGGTTCCGAGGTCGGACAGGACTTGCCCTATCTGACAAAGTGGCAAAAACAAAAGGGATAACGGTATTAAGTTTGCCAACTGATTTTCAACTAAATCCAATACAGTTAATATGGGCTAAAATAAAAGACCAGACGAAATACAACTTGTAAGTTGAAGGATGTCAAAAAACTTTTAGTAAACTCACAAAACAAGAGAAAGAGATGGAAATTCATAATTTATACGTTTTTAATTCATGCACATTGCTTAAATGTTAGATAACGATGTATCCGCTTTAACATTAATTTTATTTAACATATAAATCTGTCTCCTTATGATTCTCCAACAGTTACCCATGATTTTCATATTTGTTAGATATATAATGGCCGATACACAATGGCCAGGATCTGGGAAATGTTCAACACGAAATGATGGCGTATTTTATTACTCCGGAATTAACAACACCCATCGTTACGGAGTTGGAATCATCATTTCAAAGAATTGGAAAAATTCTCTGATTACCTGTACTCTTTATTCAGAGCGCTTAATATTCATATAAATTAAAGAAAGACATACCTTAATAAATCTTATTCAAGTCTATAACCGACAGCAGATAAAAATGACAATGAAATAAAACAATTATACAACGATTTAGAAGAAATACTGAAAACAATAAAAAAGATACACATTAACATAATAATTGGCGATCTTAATACCAAATTGGGTCAAGGTAAGGAAGGAGAACAAGTAGGAAACTATTGACTTGGAAACAGAAATGACAGAGGAGATCGATTGATTCAATTTTGCCAAAGCGAAGACTTCGTAATAACAAACACCTTTTTTCAAATTACCTCCTTGACGGTTATATACATGGACATATCTACAACATACCAAAGAAAAAATAGTGAGAAATCAAATAGACTACATTATGATAGCAAGGAGATATCGTAATGCTGTTAAATGTACTAAGACGTACCCAGGTCAAATGCCGACGTCAAACAAATGTGTAGTGCTAGCGACGTAGTCCAAGAGATTAAATCCCAACGTCTAAGATGGGCTGGCCATGTTCATAGGCTCCCTAATAACCGCCTTACCAAGTTAATCTGGGAAGGAGTCCCGACAGGGAGAAGGCCCTTAGGACGTCCACGAATACGATGGAGAGATAATATATGGTCAGATTTAAGAACAATGGGGCTACCCACTGACTTAAACATCATGGACAACCGTTCGAGATGGAAGCAGGTTGTGCAGTCAGCCAAGACCCACCCCGGGTTGTAGTGCTACCAGAAGAAGAAGTACCCAGGAGCTGATATAGGCTCAGATCATAACTAGGTAGTTACTGTGATAGAGGCGAGATCAAAAAAGATGAGAAGACCACACAGAAAGGCACGAGATTTAAATAAACTTATAAACAAAAATATACGACAAGAAACAGGAGAAGAAATAAATGAAAACCTCCGTTCAGTGCAGCAACAAATTAGCGATACAAATAACGTTAACCAAAAATTAAAGTACATAAATACAGCTATACAAACAACAGGAAAGAAACATCTTACAAAAACAACAACAAAGAATAAGGGGTGGATGACACAAGATATACTAGACTTGATGGAACAAAGAAGAAAGATGAAGAATTACCTAGACAAATACAAAGAAATAAACAAACACATGAAAAAGAGAATTAAATAAGATAAAGAGACGTGAATTAAAGAACAGTGTAAATAAATGGAAACCTATGAGAAAAAGTACGATGCGTTCAATATGCACAAAAAAGTAAAAGAGATAACAGGAAGCTTAAAGAGATGCCAAATAGGTAAACTTAAAGACAAAGATGGAAATCTTATCGTAGATCTAGAGAATAAAATAAAAAGATGGACAGAATACCTGAATGAATTATTTGAAGACGATAGAAACAACTTAACTCAGATAATTAATGCAACTGGGCCTTACATATTGAAAGAAGAAATAGAATACGCAATAAGAAACTCTAAAAATGGAAAAGCAAATGGACCTGATGAAATTCCTACAGAACTGTTGAAGCTTTTGAATGATAAATCCGTAACCATAATATTACATCTATTCAATATAGTATTACATCTATTCAATTCTATACAGTACTGGTATAAAACCTCAAGAATGGTTGCTGTCTACGTTTGTCACGGAAGAATACCGAAGAAATCCAAGACAATGCAATGTTCAGATCATTGAACAAGCTCCTTGATGAGTCATCTGCTTAAAATATTTCTTAGAGTCATCCACAACCGAATCTATCAAATGTTAGGTATCGATATTAACGATACACAGATGGGATTCAGAAAAGGATTAGGTACAAGAGAAGCTCTCTTTGCCTTAAAAGTCCCAACACAGAGATGGCTAGATGTTAAGCAAGAGGTACACACCTGCTTTATAGACTTTGGAAAGGCCTTTGACAAAGTAAGCCACAACAAACTCAAAGAAATCCTGGAGGGTAAGAACATCGACACCAGAAGCATACAAATAATATTAAATCTGTACTAGAATCAGCGAGCTAATATAAAAATAAAAGACCAAACATCGGACGAAATAGGAATACGTAGATGAGTAGGACAGGGTTGTATATTGTCACCGCTCTTGTTTAATATCTACAGCGAACAAATATGCCAAGAAGCGCTCTCACATGTAAACGAAAGGATAATAGTCAATAGAGAAGTTATCAATAACATTCGATATGCTGACGATACTGTGATAATGGCAAGAACAGCGGAAGATCTACAACATCTAGTTGAAAGTATGAATGAGATATGTACGTGAACTACGGCATAAGGATGAACGTCGAAAAAACCAAATATATGACCTTCAGTAACAATCCATGAATATATGACTCGAAAAAATAAGCGAATACAAATATTTGGGAACCTTCATCAATGAAACAGGTGACCAAAATCACAAGATAAACAGACGTATTGAAATTACCAGGTCTACCTTTATAAAAATGAAAAAATTATTTTGTAATCGTGATATTAGTATTCATCTACGAAGTAGAATGTTAAAATGCTATGTATTCAATACTTTGCTTTACGGTGTTGAGGCATGGACTCTTAAACAGATGAATGTTAAAAATCTTGAAAGCTTTGAGATGTGGTGCTACCGCCATATTCTAAAAATAATTTGGGTGGATAAAATTACAAATAAAGAGGTAATACGCAGAATAAATAATGATCCAGAAGTTATACTGAATATAAAAAAGAGAAAACTAGAATACTTAGTCCACCTGATGAGAGGACACAAGTACACATTCCTACAAAATTTAATGCAAGAAAAAATCCAAGGACGCAGAAATCCAGACCGTAGAAGAATGTCCTGGATGAGAAATTTAAGAGAGTGGTTTGGCTGTACCACTAACGAATTATTTAAAACAGCAGTAAATCAAATTAGAATTGCCATAATGATATCCAATGTCCGATAGGACAGGCACTTAAAGAAGAAGAAGATATATAATAATCCATGGGTTTGTATTGATAATTCTATAACTATATTTTAACATGAGAGGATATTATTTTGAGTGATTTCAGTTTGACCAATTTCCCTGCTGTTTAGAGATAGATGAAAATTTGCATTTGTAAGCAGCTGTCAATTGCAAACAGATAGACTTTAGTAATTGCATTCTTATAACGGCAACAGTTTTTTAAAATCATTTAATATAACCAGTAGAAATTTTTCTGATACAAATTTTATTTTACAGATGAAGTACCATTTATCGTTAATTTGGGTTATAGAAATAGTAGGGATCCCAGCAAGCCAAGATGGCTGTGTGGAGGAACACTTATTACAGAAAGACATGTTCTCACAGCTGCTCACTGTGTACACAACAAAAAAGATTTGTAAGTAGGATCTGCTGGTTGGATGACTCCTTTATCTCTTTTTCTTGTTCGTCAAGTTTTTCTCTTTAATTTTTGTTCTATATTTTTATATTTCCTTTCATTATTATATATTTGGTTATAGAAGATTTGCTTATTTATTCATATTACCATTGTTTTTCTTATTTTCCCATTGCTTAGTGAATTAATAGCTCATACAGCTATCTTTACCCTTTGCTTCTTGTCTGTGATTTCTTTATGGCTTTTTATTATTTATTTATTTACCTTTTTTCAATTTTTCTTTGACTGTCTTTTCATCAATTGCTTTTTAACATAAATTTTTCCATTCCTCATCGTCAGAGTCAGCGTAATATTGCAGACTGAAAAGTATATCTGCTAATCCTATCTGTATACATACGTTTGTATATAGAAAAGCTCTGTTCTGCATTCACCTAAGTTATCGGAGTGTATTTAAAATTATTTAAAACTTCTGCCCCTACATTTAGTTTTTCATCAAACACTCCACTTAAAACAATTGCAGCCTTAGATAGAAATATGAAACCAGTATTTTTATTAATGACTGAATTAACTTCTTTTAAAATATCTGTGCCAATTTGACCCTCAACAATTTGGCATCATAGTTCAATTTTTTTTTATTAATTTTACTGATTCAATTAAAAATGAAGGGGACACCCCGTTAAGATAGGCAAAATGCCCTCACTCTCAGAATTCAATTTTTTTCATATTTTACGTTCTATGTGATTAAAAAATAACGCTCACAGCAATTTTTCGATTTCATTTTTTTTGTCTATTTGTCTATTATTTATAGACCCATAGGTTGAGTTTACATAACCTGAAAAGGCATTTTAAAATAGATCAATCTCAGGCAAGTTTACTCCACTGTTACGAAATTTTGACAGTAATGGTATTCCATAGGTTAATTGAGTTATATCGGCGATTTTTTGTGTCTTCTGCGTTACCCTTTTAATTTTTAGATTTTAAGTCTACTTTTATATAAAAAAAACAGTTGTTTTTAGAACTCTTTAGCCAGTTGTTAGTATAATATAATATTTTTAAATTACCGTCGAAGACCGGTAAAACGTTGTATATATCTTCTCCGAATGAAAATACATAACAGGGCGGTATCAGTCATATCAGTTGACCCGTCAAATTGCGAAGAAAAGTACATACACTTCATAATATCACTTTTAACTTTTCTTTCCAAATCTTTGCTCATGATTTTGATACGTCTAGTAACCGTTGGACGTGATAACTGGATTTGATGGCAGACATAATATCTGTTTTATTTTTGAAGTCCTCAAATAATACATTCGCAGCCTCAATCACAGGTAGCTTCACTACCTCTCCATCTTCAATGGTATTTTATGGTTTGCCAATATATAAAAAATTTTGAACGACGCAATTGTTTCAGCTACTGATTGTTTAATAGACCTAGTGAACATTGATTGTTCCATCTTAAACTCCTTTTCAAGTCTTGCACTTTCCGTTTTCTAAACAAACTGCTTTGTGGAATATCATTTTCATAAATTACTATTTATAACTGGGAATAAGCCACAATTAAAGATAAAAATACGTTTATTGACGTTTCAATTTCCAATTCGGAAATCGTTCTCAAAATACAAACAGTAAATTAAACAAATTTTGTTTTTTGTTACATAGTGAAAAAATTCTTCTAATAATTTAATTTTATCTGACTCATTTATATTGACAATTCAGACATACATTATGCATTTTAAAGTAGACGACTTTAAAATGATATTGCCAATATTGTTGAGTTGCGCTCCTGGGACGACTTTACTTATAAGATAGTTCATTCGATTACATGAAATCAACTTTAACTTGAGAATATCCGTCAGAAAAAATCATAGCATGTAATTCATCTTTAAAAAGACAAACACATGACATGATGACAGTAAAATTCTCCTGTTAGTGATTTCATAGTAAATTATGAGGGAAAAACCAGGAAAAAAACCTCATAATACTATCCCGACATTGTAAGTATTTGTTCGTGAATTTAGTTTACCTTCAACAAACATCAAAATTCTGATTTTATATGTTACGTCATTTAAAAAACATAAATGATGTATCCTCTATATGTTATTGACTTACTAATACTGGTATTTTCTTATTAATAACTTCCTCTTTCAATATTGGTAACCAGATCCTACTACATTCTGCCGAGGAATTTGCGACACAATTGGCCTCATTTAGCATAATTAGAGCCGCTTCTTTGATTTTTCTTTTTTTACCATCCGTTTCTTCTAGGATTATATTTGAATTATTCCATTGAACCCTATGTTCATTATCCCATGCGTGTTTACATATTTGAGATCTATCAAATTCTCTATTTTTAATATAAGATTGATGTTCACTTATTCTAACATTTAATGGTCTTGATGATTCACCTAAATAAAACTGATCGCATTCACAAGGTATTTTATAAATGCAATGCTTTGTCCTTTCTTGTTCATTGTTAGGTTTGGTTTTGGACAAAATAGATCTCAACGTGTTTGTTGTTTTGAATGTTGTTGAAATGTTGAATTTATTTCCTATCCTTTTAAGTTTTTCTGATAATCCTTTTATGTACGGTATTGTTATTTTCCTCATATTATTTCTTGTGTATGCTGTAGGATCTCGTTCTAAGTTGTTCTGTTCTATTTGATCGATTGTTGAAAATTCCTTATTTATAAACGATAAAGGATAATCATTTTTTAATAAAACAGATGTTAATAAATGTTTCTCCTCCAAGAACGAATTTTCGTTAGAGCAAGTAATTTTGGCTCTATCGTATAAGGATTTAATTATTCCCTTTTTTTACATTAATATTATGATTTGATTTGAAATTTAAATATCTATTGGTGTGTGTTGGTTTTTTATACACCTGAGTCTCATATCCAGTATGACCAGTATCGTTCTTAGAGATTAAAACATCCAGGAAAGGTAGCGTGTTATTATATTCCTTTTCCATGGTAAATGTTATTGTCTCTTCTTTATCGTTTATATCATTTAGGAATGTGTCCAACAACTCTGATCCATGAGGCCATATTGAGAATACATCATCTACATACCTCCACCATACTGCGGGTTTGAAATTAGGAAATAAATTCAACATTTCAACAACATTCAAAACAACAAACACGTTTAGATCTATTTTGTCCAAAACCAATCCTAACAATGAACAAGAAAGGACAAATCATTGCATTTATAAAATACCTTGTGAATGCGATCAGTTTTATTTAGGTGAATCATCAAGACCATTAAATGTTAGAATAAGTGAACATCAATCTTATATTAAAAATAGAGAATTTGATAGATCTCAAATATGTAAACACGCATGGGATAATGAACATAGGGTTCAATGGAATAATTCAAATATAATCCTAGAAGAAACGGATGGTAAAAAAAGAAAAATCAAAGAAGCGGCTCTAATTATGCTAAATGATGCCAATTGTGTCGCAAATTCCTCGGCAGAATGTAGTAGGATCTGGTTACCAATATTGAAAGAGGAAGTTATTAATAAGAAAATACCAGTATTAGTAAGTCAGTAACATATAGAGGATACATCATTTATGTTTTTTTAAATAACGTAACATATAAAATCAGAATTTTGATGTTTGTTGAAGGTAAACTAAATTCACGAACAAATACTTACAATGTCGGGATAGTATTATGAGGTTTTTTTTCCTGGTTTTTCCCTCATAATTTACTATGGAATCACTAACAGCAGAATTTTACTGTCATCATGTCATGTGTTTGTCTTTTTAAAGACGAATTACATGCTATGATTTTTTCTGACGGATATTCTCAAGTTAAAGTTGATTTCATGTAATCGAATGAACTGTCTTATAAGTAAAGTCGTCCCAGGAGCGCAAATCAACAATATTGGCAATATCATTTTAAAGTCGTCTACTTTAAAATGCATAATGTATGTCTGAATTGTCAATATAAATGAGTCAGATAAAATTAAATTATTAGAAGAATTTTTTCACTATGTAACAAAAAACAAAATTTGTTTAATTTACTGTTTGTATTTTGAGAACGATTTCCGAATTGGAAATTGAAACGTCAATAAACGTATTTTTATCTTTAATTGTGGCTTATTCCCAGTTATAAATAGTATTTAACTTACAATGCCACAAGAAAATAGCTTCAGAACAATATCATTTTCATAGTTTTTATGCAAAGTTTTATAATGCCGTTCTAAATTTCCGCCTTTGGACAGAGCATCGGAAGACCGACAAATAAGACAAACACACTTATCTTTCACCATAGTAAATAGGAATTCTTCTTTCCACGAATTATTAAAATGTTTTACTCTTTTTCGCGGCACTCATATCGAGTTTCAAATATTAACTTAAATAATATATTACTAAAATGTTTTGCCAGTAATAAGTTAGTAATGAATAATTTATGCTTAACTAACAGCAATAAAATGCCGATACAGCACACTCACAGTTTATTTCTCCGTGAATCGCGATCGACTTCTTGGCGATCAACCCTTTGAGCACTGTTGTGTTATAGTGTTAAATATATTTTTTGACATCGACATAACCTGAATCAATTTTCTCATATTTTTACTTTTTGTCTAATTAACAAATAAGACTGAGCACAATTTGCCTACTTTTATAGATCCGTGGGTTAAGTGTACCTACATAACCCAAAAATACATTTTTTTGTCCGAAAAAAGTGTCGAACTTTTTTTTGGAGGTGGCTGCAGATCCAATTTTTTTTTATTTTGTGTATTGGATCAAATATTATATTTCTGATTTTTTTCAGATTTTTTCGTATGGTGCGTCATCCCCAAAAAGCCAAAAAACCGTTTTTTATGCTTTTTGTGGATTTTCTCCATTATATAGACAAAATATATCTTTTCAATGTACTATTATACGCAAAATTCAAAAGAAAATACGCATATGCACTTTTGCGTATTTGCCTGACTCTGCTCATCATCATATATCATACGATATATCAATCAGAACTTCTTAAGCAATTTATATCCTTTTATGTCTTGTTTTTTTTTTATACTTTTTAGATATATCGTTCGTTTAGGAGACTTGGATCTAAACAATCCTAATGATGGAACAGAACCAGAAGATATACCATTGATCAAAGCCAAAGTTCACCACGACTACAGTCCCGTGAAATACACCAGCGATATCGCAATTCTTACTTTGGAAAGAGCTCCCACCAATCGTAAGTTTAGAAAGATATTCTTGTCTAAATTAGTACATATTTATTACTCCAACTAGTGTGTGTTCCAAAACTTTTCTAAATTTTGTGTAGATTGAATGAACTTACGTGAATAGTATTTTGGTTTTGTTTGCGGTACAAGTTATATAATGTATACATTTGTTGTATACATTTGTGTAAAAGAAGTAGAGCAAGAAACATCCTTGGGAAAATTCAGTTCCCCAGGAAGAAGTGACAGAGAAGAAACGCTACTAGGATTCCTACTCCAGAATAATTTATTCAACTTGAACAGCTTCTTTAACAAAAAAATGCACAGAAGATGGACCTGGGAAAGTCCAAATGGTAGAACGAGGAACGAAATCGACTACATCATAAGTGACAAAAAACAAATAATTAAAGATGTAACAGTACTGATGTAACAACAAGTTCACCACAGAATGATACGAGAGAAAGTCCAAATTAACACAAAAAGAAAAAGAAACATAATGATTAAAAATAAATCTCATGGTATTGTAATGTAAGCGTAGCAAGTGAGTGAGAAGTTGAATTAAATGGTTAAGTAGCATAGAAAAGATAATAATTATTCGAGATAATTATTATATATTCCAAATCAAATAAGGGATAATTATTACAGTAAAATTTTCATTTTTAAATCCCACAAATAAATTGACCTAGTTATTGCATTGTTTGTTAATTGTTTAAACATAGAAAAGCACGTCAAACAAAAAACTTATTGTGATGCAATATAGGACCCACAATTCAACGAAAACACAACCTTGGACTATAACCGGTCAATGAGGACACCATTCGATAAAAACTAGAAGACGGGAACAGCCAAGTCAGTAGTCAGTCAGTAGTAGTGAGACGGCGGGCGTCCAGGCATCAATTGCCGCCCCGGCTACTCTCGACGCGGTAGCGTCGGGTACGAGTAGCTAGTAATGGGCAGTCAGTAATAGCGGGCCACCGTGGCTCGGACGCGATAGCGTCCAGTACGCGAACAGTACGCGACACAATCGGTGATTCTCGGGGGGCCGGGTATCATCTGGCAGAGTTCGCGTGTAGTCCGGTTATTGTGGCAGCTCGAAAGTTCGCAACCCTCAACTGACCGAGTTCCAGACGACTGAACGTGTCGTGGTTGAAGCCCTAATATACATATAAGGTAACAGATTTCTTATACTAACCTGTGTAATTATATTAGTACCACTGTCAACTCTTCACTATCTTGCTACATCGTCTCCCGACGCGCAGAATAACGTGTTAACGATTGTATTAGTAACTTCAGGGTAGATTCAATATATTGTTGACTCTAATTTGGTTTTTTTAATGTTCCTTTCGTCCGACTCACTAGAGACTAGGAGAACACGAGATTCTGCGTATGCATATCTCCGGCTTCAAAAGTAAGCCCATAACCTCTACTCTTTACAGGACCTGAGACCTAGGAGTCCTTACCCCTATCCCGAAATCCCTTATCTTCTCGTAAATCCACGAAGACGAGCCAGCCCTCCAGACCAGTGTGACCAGTATTCCTTGCAGTCGCTCGCAGGGTTAGCATCCCTTGAGGATCTATTGTGTATTTCATTTCGTGACAGCGTTTTCCTTACCTTCACATAACGCTCTCATTACCTATTATTTTACATTGGTGACAACGGTGGGACTAATATACACATAAGAAACATGGGTACAATTCCAAAACCAATTACGCTGCTAACAATCATATTCCTGACAACAGTAACCAGAAACCGGGCCGGAGGACTAATAGCTTATGATTGCAACGACCACAGATCGAACATTACCGCCATATCCTTAAGGGAAGTCAAACCCTGTTCACCGCCAGAGACGTCTTACAACAAAGAGAACGTCACAGTGCAGATAATACAAAGAAACGCATTCGAGACACAAAGAGTAATGGCTTGCCTCATCACGGTGGAGAGACTCATGTTCCACTGTGGGATGTACAGCCACACGTCCATAGTCGACGGAGGACTAGACAATTACATCGAGAAGATAGGAGCAGAGGAATGCCGAAATATACACCGCTACCGATCGATACAACTATATAAGAAAACAATAGGACAGATCACACTAAATGGGACCACCTCAGCGTCGATTACAACCCACGGAAGCCTACAAGAGAACGGCGAATGCAACGGGATTGTATATCAAGAAAATGGTAGAACATGGAAAGACATAGTAATACTAGTAACAGTAAAAATAACAGTATCCGACTACCTAGCTACAGTAAGCATAGACGACAACGAGATCCACCTGCGAGAAGGGGTAACATGCCCATTCATCAACGGCTACTGCTTCGACTCTACAATAGGCGAAATAACCTGGGAACAATACAAAGACAACAGTTGCGAGAGTCAATTGTCACAACTGTACAAAGGACACGGCGAGAAGATCACAAATAAACAATCACTAGAAGAACTGGTAATAGTAGAACAAGATAAAAACATATTTGCTCTAACGCTACACAAAAGGGCTATAATATGTAACACAGAAGTATGGCAAACTGAACACCCCCGAATCCTAATAAATTTCCTAGTAAACAACAAAATAAATCCTAGTATGCCTCTCCTACCTCAAAACGTAGACCTAATGACCTACATCAATAGCAAATTCCTTTACACCGAACAATCCTACCAAAGAGAAATAGAAAATCTATACTTAGACACAGTACTGCGACGATGCCAAACAAAGAGAGAAATTTTAAAAAACAGATTACTAATGGCCCCATCCTTACCTAACGCTGTCAGTCAACTCATGCAGAACATGCCAGGGTACACAGGAAGAGTACTAGGAGAAGTACTCTACATAATGCAATGCATACCGAAACCAGTGACCATACGAAGAACAAACAAATGTTTCCATGAACTACCGATCACCCTACTAAACCAATCAAAATTTATGTCACCAGTAACAAGAATAATTCAAGATTATGCCGAAGAAATAGATTGCAACCATGTAACACCCCCGATGTACTACGTAGAAGAACAATGAATCAGCTTGACACCACACCCAACCAAGGCAGTCAACCCCACAGAAATCTCGACAGAAACAGAATCATTGATAGACATGGTCCCACTACAACCATTGGCAGCCGGCGGAATATACACGCAACAAGAAATACAAGAAGCCCAAAGGACAGTCATGTTTGGATCAGAAAGAAAGGCAGTAGAGAACATAATTACCAGAAGAACAGCAGGCCGAGAAACAATAAACCAAGGGTATACATTAACCAAAATGTTTGATGAAAACGAATTAAAAGAGATCGCTCACTCTACCCTCAACAGAATATGGGGATGGTTATCCACACTAGGAAATATCACCAGCGGCCTGATTGGCGTATATTTAATATACAGAACAATTATATATGCCTGCGAAATAATACTGAATGGGTTAAGGATATACCAAACAATAGGATGCAGCTACATAATCATAGCAGGGCTATGGACAAATCTCACCAACTGGGTAATACACCGACACCAAAAACCAAAAGATGAAGAAAGAAAGATAAACCTGAACGCACGCGACGAACAACCAGAGTCAGAGGATGAACACTGGACAAAAAGATGTAGCAAACACATACCAGATACCAATTTAGCAGAAGTATAATGCGACAAAGCAAAGCAGTATCGACCTGAGACGACCACCCAGCAAGGACAAACCAACGGAGGCAGACAGCAGCAGTAACGCATCAATACAGTTAACTCGACACGTGGAATTGGCAAACGGACATTAAAACAGCCAAGACGACGCGAGTGAAGTGCGGATAATTCCCACAGGGATACGCGATAAAGTGAACGCAAAACGCGAGTACAATCGTATAGAACAGTTAGAATACGCTTGTCGTAATGGACACATGTAATCACAAACAATTGTAATAAGTTAGGAAAGTTCTTTCACTTGTTAAGTTTCAATAAGATTAATACAAGATTAACTCAACTTGTCATACACATAGGTTTAATACGGGGGCAGCACGATACATTCGCTGACCACGGTACAATAGTCTATAAGAAACAGTAAATGATAAAATATAAATTGGGACTTATATAAAAAATATATATAGTAGGATATAAGTAATAATATGTAAGTAGAATAATTTATTGTTGGAAAAGGAAAAGGCCCCTCGGCCCTTTTCTTTTTTTGCGTAGGGAGTAATGTAATGTAAGCGTAGCAAGTGAGTGAGAAGTTGAATTAAATGGTTAAGTAGCATAGAAAAGATAATAATTATTCGAGATAATTATTATATATTCCAAATCAAATAAGGGATAATTATTACAGTAAAATTTTCATTTTTAAATCCCACAAATAAATTGACCTAGTTATTGCATTGTTTGTTAATTGTTTAAACATAGAAAAGTACGTCAAACAAAAAACTGTTATTGTGATGCAATATAGGACCCACAATTCAACGAAAACACAACCTTGGACTATAACCGGTCAATGAGGACACCATTCGATAAAAACTAGAAGACGGGGACAGCCAAGTCAGTAGTCAGTCAGTAGTAGTGAGACGGCGGGCGTCCAGGCATCAATTGCCGCCCCGGCTACTCTCGACGCGGTAGCGTCGGGTACGAGTAGCTAGTAATGGGCAGTCAGTAATAGCGGGCCACCGTGGCTCGGACGCGATAGCGTCCAGTACGCGAACAGTACGCGACACAATCGGTGATTCTCCGGGGGCCGGGTATCATCTGGCAGAGTTCGCGTGTAGTCCGGTTATTGTGGCATCTCGAAAGTTCGCAACCCTCAACTGACCGAGTTCCAGACGACTGAACGTGTCGTGGTTGAAGCCCTAATATACATATAAGGTAACAGATTTCTTATACTAACCTGTGTAATTATATTAGTACCACTGTCAACTCTTCACTATCTTGCTACATCGTCTCCCGACGCGCAGAATAACGTGTTAACGATTGTATTAGTAACTTCAGGGTAGATTCAATATATTGTTGACTCTAATTTGGTTTTTTTAATGTTCCTTTCGTCCGACTCACTAG